GCTCACCGAGTGTAGCCGAGACCAGGCAGGTTCGTATTCCCAAGATTGAATGGCGATAAGTAGTGGCAAACGAGTGAAAGGATAACGTGAATGAAAGGAAAAATGATGCGAAGTGGTGCAAATTATAAGTTCCCGTAGCTCTGGTTCACTAAGATGTTTTTACTTATAAATAGTTGATAATAGAAGATCCTTTACGTAGTTCTCGATCAATTGTGATTGCCTCAGGAGTGCTTGGTTCGGTCGCTGGTTTGTTTCTTTTTCAATTAGCACAGGTTTAACTAGCACAAGTTTATGTAATACTCGAAATCGAGAATCAGAAAAGGAAAACTGACTACTAAGATCAGACTACGAGTTAATAATTCAGAATCAAAACTATTGTCAAGTGAAGTTAATGATTGTAAGATAAAAGAGATAATAAGAGCGCGAGGGCAATGGAGGGGTGGTTCTTTTCCCACCCCTTTTCAAGCCTTCTTAATACATCATCGTTTCTAGAATATTCTTAAGAAGGCTTACACACACACACACACACACACACACATGTGTTATCTTTAGTACTTTATTATTAGTTAATATAATTTGTTAATCTTAAAATCTAATTGTAAGTCTTATTCAATAATTTCCCTTTAGAGTTTCATCGTTCAATCTTATGACATGCCACAATTCCTTTATTCGCAAATATTTCGATCTTATTTAATTAGTTTTGACAATATTTTATAATAATCCTTATTTAATTATTCTTTAACAATATTTCTATAATTCTCTTTCGCATTTGTCTTTTTATCGCGCGGGTATATATTGAGGATTCATAATTCAATAATCGTTTTAGCATTCCTGAGTTTCGAGGATCTTACTTAGACTATTCGAAAACATTCCATACCGTTCCCTTTCAGATCGTTCGAGAAAATTCTATACGTTTCTCTCGGGTCAGAATTGTTTAAATTTTATTCTATCGGTCAAGTGACAGTTAAATTTATTTGACATTTGTATTCTGGGAAAGGCATGAAACATTGGCTCTGGTTTATGTTAGGCTTCGGATAACTCGGTATTGTCGACGTTTTCTAACTGAGAGTTCTTTATTAAGAGAGTGGGGGGGGGGATGGTCTTTGCTCAAGGTGACAATGACGTCCTGGGGATGATAGAAGAAACGTTGATCCTTTCGATCTTAGGTTTCATGTTCTCCGATCCTCTCGGCCATGGCGTGCAGCGTTTTATGGTTAGCACGTGTTGACGGACGAGAGTAAATGGCGGGGACACGTGGACTTTGTTGAATTCTTAGAACGGTTTCCAGTGATTCACTGTAGTTGTTTAATTAGTCAATATGAGTATCGAAGAAAATAATCTAAGAGTAAATTATTATGCGCTGTTTATGAGAATAGATTTGATAAGTTAATCTTTTATTTATACTACTGTCGCGATTGCTTCGATTGGTTTCGGTATTTACTACTAACAATGGTTTCGATTGTCTTCTACGTAAATCACTGGAATAATGTCTCTATTGTTTAATTTTATTCTACTATAAAAAAGATATGCGTGGCGGGACGTCACAATAGATAGAGATTTGAGTAAATAGAGAATTCAATTAAAAAGTGCATCTGCGAATTGTACGATTTATATGTTAGGCTATTGTATCACTTGATTGTATGATTAATATAGTTTTCTTTTTGTTACAGGTGGTCATCGTTGGATTTATCATCTACTCGTTTTGATTTTCTTCTACTTTTTAAAATATATATGTATATAAAACGAATTTCTGAAAGCACACACGTATTTAGACACTAAAAATAAATATAATTATTTAAAATTTTCTTACAATATAAATATACTATCATATACTATCAAAGAATATTGTATTCTTTGATAGTATTGTACCGTCATCGCGTTAAGTACATACTATCGTCTAATGGTGGTCCCAGTGGTAACAAAAATGATGCTGGGTAGATAAAAAAGGGGACTTGTGAGTTTCTATATACTTCACCACAAAAAAGTTGGGATAGAATCGCAACAGCAGAAAAAAATGAATAAGTGCTCTTAATTGCTCACTAATTGCTCACTAATTGCTCACTAATTGCTCAATCAAAATCCATATAATTGCTCACTTTATTAATTAATTATATAATTAGGTATTAATAATTGGAAAATTGAAAATAAATTATTTTTATTATTATTTTTTAATTATTATTTTTTATCACCACAAAAAAGTTGGCATAGAACCGCTACAGCAGAAAAAAATTAAAATATTTAATAATTGTTTATACATTATGAATGATTCACCTATTTCTTTTCACTACCCTACAGGTTGTTACTTTGGAAATCAATTTTAAATATATCCCCTGCAGGTATATACCAACTTTACTTTTATTTTTTTCAAAGTTCACTTGCGCCTTAAATTTGTGATTGCGCATGCGTATAACATATTTCCCAGTCATGATAATTATTCAAAGTGTAATAACTATTTTAAACTAATTAACGATAAATACAAAATATTTGATAAAATAAAGTTGCGGAGCCGGACAAACAAAAAGTCAGCAATTGATTGAAAACAAAAAACAATAGAAAACTTCATTGCTTTGCTTAGAAATGAGAAAAAACGTTTTTGTATTTTCAAGTATTAATAACTAATTAAATAATTAATTAATAAAAAGTGATCAATTATGGATTTTGATTGAGCAATTAGTGAGCAATTAAGAGCACTTATTCATTTTTTTCTGCTGTTGCAAACTTTATTGCTTTGCTTAGAAATGGAAAAAAACGTTTTTGTATTTACTATTATTAATAACTAATTCAATAAATAATTAATAGCGAGCAATTATGCATTTAAATGTGCAATTAGTGAGCAGTTAAAAGTACTTATTCATTTTTCTTTGCTGTTGAGGTTTTATGCCAACTTTTCTACAGTAGATATTTCATTGTAAAATTTAATACTTTCCACTTGATTTATAGATAATTTTTCACGATGATATTTATTTTTGTCGATAACGTAGAAATCATCTTTTGCAGGAATTTTTTTTATTAGTATAATAAATAAATATTTTTGTTATTATAAAATTTAAAGTTTTACATTTGACATGTATCATTACATACAATTATTATGAATTTCGTTTGTTATGAATGCAAATAATTATTACATTTTATAATTAATTTTTTAATGATGCAAGTTACCTGTATATAACAAAAGTATAAACCAAGTTATGCGATTAGAAATATCTAGGAGTAAACATCACGAGCAACAGAAACCTAGAGGAGGAGGTAAGAGACCAAACAACCAAAGCCTCCATAATCTCCGGATACCTTAGGGATATCATATGGAGAAATAAGCATATGGACATTAAAAGTAAGACACGCATATACAAAACTTGTGTCAGATCGATAATGACCTACGCGGCAGAGACAAGGGCAGGATAACAAAACGTATCCTGAGAACTACAGAAATGAAAACGCTAAAAGTCATAACAGGGAACTCACAAAGAGATAAAAGAAGAAACCAAAAAATAAGAAAAGAATGTGAGACCCAAGACGTGGTAAGGTGGAGAAGAGAGTGACGAGACCATGTAGACAGGATGGACGACAGTAGGCTGCCGAATGTGACAAAAACAGGAAAAATAGGAACAACGAGACCACCTGGAGGACTTCTAAAACGGTGGCATGAAAACTGGATATCATCATCACAGGAATAACAAATGCTCTGAAAAGAACTATATAGCTAATATAACAAGACGAAAGTCGTAATAATAATAATAATATGAAGATAATTAATTATTATTATTTTACAATTATTCTTAAACGATTAATCGCAAGGAATTATAAATAACAATAAAAAAATAATAAAGTAAAGAAGATAATCATTTTAAAAATCAATAATTTGTCATCTAATTAAATATAAGATATATCAATGTTAATTAGTGTTTTAACAACCAATTATCCCTTGGATATTTTTGACATGAAACTTTAGTACATTTTACTTCCTCTACAAGCTTATTGTATTTTGCTAATAACATTCAAAATCTGTTAACAATTACTGATAAAGTTTGAGATTTTTCCGCGAATTTTTTTTTAAATTCATTTTTGCCAATTATTATTGTGACACGTTGTAGCATGATATATTCGAAGTCGATAGAATGGCATGACTAATAGAAAATTTGTTTTCAAATAGAGAAGAATAGATAAAGACGAATAACAAGGAACACTCATTGTGTGCGTTTAATTTATTTTTGTTTTCGTAGTTTTCGAAGAAAACCTTGTTTAGTCTTTTAAATTAATAGAGAAACGTTATCTCGAGATTATATAACCTTCGATTGGAAGACCATAAAACGAAGAAAAACAAATTTTCTATTTCTAGTTATTATGTTACAACAGTGTAGTATTGGCAGATATTAAAAAAAAATCGAAGAATTTGTTTTTATACTTGAAATCAAATTTCAATCTCATAATTTAAGTATTTACCTCTTGAAAATTCATAGATTAATTATTGTTAATTGAAGTATGTAATTCTGCCCTATTTCATATTTTAACAGGTCAGTATATTTATTTATGGTTTAGTTGGTCATTTTACTAATTAACGGATTTTCCTAAATAATATGAATATATACTATATAATAAATAAATAATAATAAAAAAATATATTATATATTATATATTAAATATAAAATAATAAATAATAAAAAATAAATATTTTTTTATGCATATATATATATATATATGTTGTAATAAATAATATATATAATATTCATAAAATAAGATATTAATATAATATTTCCTTTAATATTTCCAATGCTTAAAATATAATTAATCTGTCTTGAAGAAAGTAGTTTTCATAAAAAAATATATGAAGTAAGTAAGCCATATATACGTACTCGAAGTAGTAGCATTGGATTACCGTGCGTGACCAAGGGAACACCTCGTTTGCACGCATCAGGTTTCAACCGGTAATGAAATTATTTTCCCTTCGCCAAAGGAATTGACATTTTGACTTAACCAATAGTCAGTACGCCGTGCAATGTCGGTCGAGAAAGAATCATCCTTGACGTAAGTGTAATCACTTATCGTCTTTTTATTTTGTTTCACAATCGTAACGTTGTTTTGTGTAATGACACTAAACATTCGATTAACTCGATATATCAGTTTACATGCAAATTGTTATTGATTGTCATTGGTCAATTTAAAATGAACTGAAGTTTATCAAAATAGAAGGTCAGGGTCGAGAGTTATTATAAATTTTATAAATTTATCTTTTAATATACTATATATTTATAGATTATTTGTAATCGCGGTTTCGGTATAGTTCGAATGAAGCAAGTATTGAGTCCGTTTACATTAAACTTCGTTCAATAGTATTGTTTTATTATAGTAACACTTATATGACTTTCATTACATTGAAACCTTTGTACCGGAATTTGATATATTTTTTTGTGTAACAATCTCAGATAAGTAAGAATAATTTTTTTTATTTTCTTATTTACTCGGTCATTTATTTTAATAATAAATCGATCTCGGCATATCAAGAAATAAGTTCAATAGTTTAGAGTTTGCGATTACCAAAGTTATGAGTGAAGAAATATATAAATTTTATTCATTCATGATTATATAAATGAAAATTAATAGTCATTAATATAAATTTGTGTACTTGCAAAAAAAACTATCACTGAAATATTTTTCTTTTGAAAATATTATTTTTCTCTTCATTTAATTACATAGGGTGAGTTAGAATTAACCAAACATTTGAATATATTATATTGAATATATTATATTGGATGTAAAATTACAAAGTATCTCCGTAAGAGAATCAAAATGATTTCGAAGGACGTACATGATTATTAAAACATCATAGTTTTTAATGACATTATTTAAGGTGTTTTTTAGGTCATCAACGTCTGTTTGCATAACATTTTGAATTGTATTTTTTTTTCTTATGTAAGGTTCATTTGCTTTATTTATATAATGCTAAATGTTCAAAATGATTCCCTTGAGCTACGATACATATATTTAATCTCGAAGAATATGAATCTAATGCTTTATGATTCATTTCAGAGGGAATTGATGCATAACCCCTGATGTATTTAATATCTTTTATATTTTATTTAAGTATGTATCTCCCGCAGTGATTGGCTTTTCCCGATAAACTTTGTTTTTCTGGTATCCTAACAGATAAAAATTAAGGAATGTAAGATTTAATTAGCAAGTTGATTATTATATGGCTCTGTTACGTCTACCCCTCGACCTAAAAAACATCTTAAAAAAATGACATTAAAAAATATGATGTTATGATGACCACGTGCTTTCTTTGAAAATATTTTGATTCTGATTTAGGCATACTTTTTGTAACTTTAAATCTAACATAAGAGAAACATTCGAATATCCGATTAATATTAATTCACCCTGTATAATAATAACAATAGTAACTTTCACAACTTTGAAGCACTTGTATCTGAGTTTAATATATTTTTTAGTGTAATGATTTTAGATCAAATGTAATTTTTTTTATAATGTTGTTTGCTCAGTCTTTAATTTTAATAATAAATCAATTACGGAATATCAAAATGTTAGGTCAATAGTTTAGAGTTTGTGATAACAACACTTGTAAAATTAAGTAAATATATTATTTTTATTACAAATCCAGGTATGTCCAACCTTTTGGTTTCCTCTCTCTGGGCCATAATTGATGAAATTATTTGTCTAAGGCGGTATAATTTTGTAAATAAAAAGTATTAAAACGACGCATATTAGCTCCAAATCTGAAAAATACACGCAAAAAAAATACATTCTTTATAGAAATTCAAATGCTTCAAAAAAAAAAAACAATTTTTTTTAATCCCTAGAATATTTTTAGCGGACCACTTAGCGTCTTTATCTATTATTTGTTATGGATAAATGCTTATGCAAACCTGTAAATTATCAGTTGAAATTATCAGTGTGCGTCGAGCGCATCGCATTTACTACTCGCTGTGTCACAAAAACGCGTATAGTGCAGTTAATATTTTTCCAATTTAAACATATAATTAAGGAATCTTTGCCTGACAATAAGTACAATTGAATAATGTATTTAAAAATTTGCGTAAATAACAAATTTGATACTTATTAGAAAGTAAACTGCAACGTGTTTTTCGCTGATGAATAGAAATATTAGGAATATATTTTTTCAAAAAGCTATAAGTGTACGATAATTACGAGTAAGTGCGCTGTAATTGAATTTAAATTGTTTATTGAACCTTTGCCTTACAAAATATTAGGGTGAACTAAAAGTTCATGCGTTTTTTATATTAATATTTTCAGAGTAAATTTTACAAAAACAATACATTAGGCAGTTTATAACACAATTTATAACACAATTTATAGTAGAATAAATGCACGAGCTTTTGGTTTACCCTAATATCTAAAAATTAGCTTGCGTAATTGTCCGCGTTAGGTTTTATCAAGGATTTTGTACGGTAATGCACAATCATACTTGTGATTCAATCCTCAGTTTTTTAAATTTTCATAAAAATTTTCTTTAAGCAAGCCTTAAATTTATCGTCGACTAATGGCGAAGTCATTTTATGATTCATATTGGTTTGATCCGTAAATCTAGCTAGAATTAAGGAATTATTATTGCTCCAGAATATTTTAAGAACGTAATAAAGTCTGGTAGCGAGCGGGCCATTAAAATACCGAAAAACAAAATAATATCAGATTCATAATTAACGATCCCAAAAATCCTTAAATACCAATTTTCAACAAAATTAAACTACATCTTCGTATGCATCCTGCGTTTTTGGCATATGGGCCAATTGTGCGACGCTCTAATTTCGAAAGATGAAAAAGAACAAAAAAAATATAAAATCTTAATGTTTTAACAACTTTATGTTAGACCGTATTTATTAAAGAATGATCCACAGGCTGAGGGACGAATAATCATAGCTAGAAATGAAAATAAATAATCGTTTTGATAAATTTGTGTGCTTGACAAAATACTATCAGTGAAATTATTTGAATTTTTATTAAAGTAATTGCATTTTAAAATAGAAGTGAAGATAAATCATCACGTGTTGTCAATTTTATTAATCCTTAATGTTCCACGTTGAAAAGAGATTCAATATTTCTTTCAGAATAGAACAGGAGAACTTGACAGGGATGGATCTTCTGAGTGTGACCTTTCGAACTATGGATCTGAAAGATTCGGAAACGAAACGTGATGGTTTTGTATGCGTCAATAAAGAACAAACTTCTGAAATATCTTTCAATGTTACATCAAAGGAAAAATCTTCGAGAAAATCTAAAAGAAACGAAGATAGTACCAAACTTAGTGAACTTCGGTGTATTAGTTTGGATGAAGTTGCTTGGCACGATACACCTGATAGTATTTGGATTATAATTTACGATTACGTTTACGATTGTACTGAATTATTGAAGAATCATCCTGGTGGACAAGATGTTCTTCTAGAATATGCTGGAAGAGACGCTACTCTAAGCTTTTTTGGCGCTGGACATTCGAAAACCGCGCAAGAAACACTTAAGAATTATCTTATTGGTGAGCTTCCAATAAAAGAGAGAATCTTTCGTATACCAAATGGCATCAAAGTTGCTGGATTTTAAATGGCTATTCATTTTTCTACGTTATGATAATTAATCTGACGAGTTTATGTAAAGAATTCATTCGGGGAATGCACATGCTTTTATTCGATTAATAAACTACTCAGTTTCCGAGTTTTGTTTAGACGTTTAAAAACTTAGAATTTACAGAACGGTAATCCTTTATGGCAACGAAGCATGATTATTTACGTTTAAAGACTAGACAACAAATTAAAAGTATTTGTGAGATCGAGCGTCTACATGTCAAATACATAAATTGGTATTCATGAAAGGTTGACCTTGAGCTCTGGATAGCCTAATGGTAAAATTGTTTCACGAATCCTACATATTTGAAAATAATGTACTTCGGAAAATCATCGATGCAAAATGCGATAAGGAAACGGGGGAATAGAGAAAACTATTATATAAAATAGAATTACATCAATTATACAATAGTCCGGATATTACGTCATAAAATCACGTTGATTGAGTAAGATAGGCAGGTCATGTGGTAACGCGTATAGAGGAGGATCGAATCGCATATAAAGTACACTAATTGGTAAACCCAATGGGAAAAGACCATTGGGTAGTAGAATCCAAGACGTATATTAAAAGATAAATAATTGAAATAGATTTTAACAAAATAGGGTACGAGGGTTGCGAATGGAAGGAAATTGCATAGGAACCGGATACATTGACGGGATCTCTAGTATTTGCAGAAATAAGCTTTCAAGTTCCTAACACCATCTAATGATAATAATAATAATAACAACAATTAATTCTTTTTAAGCCGAACACAGGTGTTTTATTTATTTCTTAATTTCATCATATCTTTTTTTTAAACATTGTTAAAGCTTTTGTAGTGAAAAAACATTTGATTGCGACATCTTATATTCTATTCAATCATTTTATATGTAATAAGTTAAATAACTTTCTCTTCGATTGAATTTTCTTTTTTATTCGTATTTCCAAAAGATTACGAATTTTGGATTTTTGAAATAATTTAAATTTCTTTTGTAAACATTTGTTCAAGTTATATTAATAAGGAAACAAAAAGAATATTATAGCGTTCTGTACAGACATAGATTTTTCGATCGAATAATATGCGATATATATGAATATTTATAATTATTATGAAATGTAAAATTTATTGTAACTAACAAGTAATTATCTTATTTAATACTCTCACTCGATTTGTTTGATAATCATTAAAGTTCAATACATTATATATCATATCATTTATGTATTTTTGTTTTTACATTATATAACACATCGCTACGTAATAATATAACTTCATTTCTTCTCGCGATTTCATCAATTGTTTTGATATAGAATTTTATTTTATATATTTTATCATGTATGAGTCAGCAGGCCAGCAACATTGGATAACTAGTGTCCGTCAGATCATTAAAGTCAAGCAATGTGGGCACGGTTAATAAAATACATTCGTTCGGAAAAATAAAAATCGTGTGCTATTGATTCCAGAAAAACAAAACAAACAACACAATCTTCTTGATCATATTGGATAGGTATGAGATAATGTCTGTAAAGAAATGACTCAAACCCGTAAAAGGGAAAATAAAAAAGACACATTATTATTTTTTATTTTTACGATTTTTATTTATACTACGTAAGCAATGTTAATTTTTATATTTTAATAAATTATAATTAAAGATGATTGTCACATAAATACAAGTTAATCAGTGCTATTTAACAAAAATATGAAGGAAATATAAATACATACAACAATGCTTTTACTGATTCTTTATATACTTCGTAAACAAAATGCCAATTTTGTATTGTATTATGAATTGTAACTAAATATGATTATTATGTAAATGTAAGATAATCACTGCCATTTAAAAAATGAAGAAAATAAAAATGCACAAATGAACCGATCCTATATCTATGCAAATCTATTTCTCAAGGTAATATAGAAACCCAAGAAATCTTTGAAATTCTAGTAGAATTTATCAATATCAAGTGAAAATACATATTAACACGTATATGTAAGTACATAGAAGATAATAATACAGTTAAAATTAAAGTTTTAACCTATTTGGGGAAGGTTAGATGCAAAATACAAACAAAAATTTGTTTTACTTTGCATTAAAATATGAAGAAACTTTTTCCCTAATCCAATATTTTCTGATGATTCAAACTCGTAATCAGATTTAAAAACTTAAAGATTCGATGCAGTAAAACAAAGAACAAGACAATTTATCTTTATATCAGTATATTATATTTCTTGGTCCTCTAAGCATTCATAATATACACAACATACAGTGTGGATCGTAATTGCAATATAGTTCGATTTCTTGTTAATACGTTATTTTTTTCCATGTTTTTTTTATCCTATATCGTTATATAACTAATTTAGCTTTCGTTTACTGACAACGTTTATTATGTTTTGTTTACTATTTTTTGTTTATCGAGGTTAGTAAGATGTAATTTTTATTTTTAACATTTAAGTGTGAAATAGCAGACATTAATTTCGGATTAACGCACGATAAGTGATTCTAAAGTTAATACATGATTTCATAATCATCCATTCGAAAAATCTTACGAAAAAAGAGAAACATTATTTATCATACAAAAATATAAATTTCCTGTCTGCATTTCTATTCATATGTATTGATAAAAATTGAAACAAGTTTTGTCTAAATTTCTTTCTAATTATTTGAAGTTTTTAAATACGATATATAATTTATGTAATAAATAATTATTTTTCACATAAAAGTGTAAATCGCACATATATTTAATGCGTAAATGCCAATAGAATTTTACTTAAACTTTCGAGATTCGAATTGTAATCTCCTTGTGATAATAAAATAACTTAAATAAAAGATCGAATTTATTTAAATGTTTAATTCATTACTATACATATAAGATAATTTAAAGCCCATATTTCTATTCACTTTCTGCTTTCATTCATAAATATTTTATAGTATGTTTCTACGTATATGGAAATAAAAAATTTAATTGATAATTATTTCATAAATGACTAATCTTCGTCAAAGCATGTCGTGTTTTGTTTGAAATTAATTCAAATACGTTTTAAAAAAAGAATTAGCAATCTTTGTTTTTTATCTTCATCAAAATATATAATTTGTATAAAAAAATATTTTTATATAAAAAAAAAAACTCATGCACACCCACGCAACACGTAAATACATATACATCTATGTAGTTGAACGTTTCGTTTCTATTTTTCTATCAAATTAATATTTTATTTCCTTTCTCTTTTGTTTGTTAAAGCTCGATCGACAATTATGCGTTTATCGTTGAGAAACATTTATAATAAATTGACAAGGTCAATGTTCAAACGAATACTTTCATTTCGAACATCATTCTTTTTTCTCTCTGTCTCTCTTTTTTTTCATTCTCTCTCTCTCTCTCTCTCTCTCTCTCTCTCTCTCTCTCTCTCTCTATTAAATATTTAAATGGAAATACTTAATGATCGCACGGAGACAGTAATTTTCGTATAGATTCATTTAATTTCTAGAAATCGATAAATGATTCGTAAAAAAACAATTGAATGATCTACGGATTTAACGTTTATTAATTCTACTCTATTATATCGAAAATGATTATATAAACTCCAGTCGTTTATCGTTTATCTCTATCAAACATAGAGATAATTGGATTACATATTTTTACAAAAATGTATCAATAGTAATTATTTTATTATTATATATAAGTTGAAACGTTTTCATTAGAAAGAGATAAGTTAATAAATACTCTTAAAATAAATAAAATCAATAAACGGTAATAGTAAATACAGTTGAACCTCTAGTATCCGAATTAATTTATGTTTTTTTGGATGAATAAATTTTCGTATAGTAGAACACTTGGAATTTTCGCTTGATTTTCATCATTTCTTAAATTGTAGAGTCCATTGGTTTTTTTTTTATTTCAACATATTGCTAGTATTACATGTTTTTTTTTTCGATGCCATTACATGGGAGTTGTAAATGTGATATCAATGTTATACTGAAGCAATACTTGAAATTTCACTGTATACGGCTTCGTGATCACGCAAATAAAGTGTTTGTCATTTTTTGAATAGCTTACGTTCTTTACTGCCGTGATATTTTTATATTTTATATTACAGACAGTTACCCTACTTTATTTTAAGTTAATCACAATAAGAGAAAAATGTTCGAATGTTAATCTGATATTGATGTTTCCAGTTTGAATGAGTATACGTAAAATTGTATTTATAGAAATATTAGAAAATTATTTTAATAGTATGATTCGCGCAAAGAAAAATAATTTTACAAGCAACGTAATCGTACGCATTAATGCAATTAAACAATTAAAATACTTTACACGTTTACCTGTTTAATATTTACAAAATTAATTATCATTCATAATGATTTGACATCAATGTATATTTATATCATTCGGGGAGAAAGGAATATATTCGTAATCGTAAAATTGAGATGAAACATATAGATATATACATGTTTGACTATATGTATACGTTCGATTTTCCAATGTGTTTGGACATCGTGAATAATGCGATTATAACAGTTATGTTCATAGCAATCGACAAAATTATTCATTTGTACAACTTTCGTAATTTACATTTAACGATTGTTGTTAATTATTATTCAAGATTTGTTGTTTTATTTCTTTTTTTTCTTTTTTTTCGTAATACCATATAAAGCATGCGCGACTTTTTTCTATTGTATTTATTATAATTATTAATTTTCAATTTAATTTTTAATAAGTATTATAGTTTCGAATAATACAGCTATACGTCGATATATAAGATTATTTTTATTGATTTTCTTTTTTGTTTTGTTTTTTCGTTTATCGAAACATCAACTTTCATAGTTAAAGTCCCTAACATTTAGGGAAAAGATTTAGAAATTGTTAGAACTTTTGCGCTCTTGGCAGTTCTGGGTTTTTTTTCATAGATATTATATATATGTATAGCGTGAAGCATCTTATTTAATTATCTTAAATAATTTCTAAATTGTTTATTAGACGACATGTTATTTCTATACAGATTACGAAATAATAATTATTTTAATAATGATTATTGCGGTGTAATGATTTTTTATACGCAGAGGCGTTTAAGAGATATTAAAATCACTTTTGTCTTTTTTAAATAAAATATCCTATTTCTTATTAATAATTTGAAAAAAATATTAATTATCTAAATAAAAAAGTATTCAACATTATTTGTCTTAAAATTTGTTATTAACGAGATATTAACAAAAGTTTGATCGACGTAAGATCGCTTTGAAATAATTATGTTACCATATGACGACGGTGTAAATTTTATAATTTTTATCAACATTTCACGTATACTTACTTTCTTCGTCTTATAGTTAGATGATTTTCGTAAATTCACTGTCATTTCATTATCGAAAGTATTATCGAACGAAAAATGTTGAAAATAAAATTGAATAATAGTTCGAACTTAAATATGCTTTTAATTTACAGTACGCGCCGTAAGATTGGAAAGAAAGCTAAAATTGCTAATTGCCAAATTGCAAATTGAAATTCCACTTTTAAAGTAGTCATATGCATAACATTATACTTTTTTTGGTACCAAATAACTTCCGTAGAAATAATTTTTTGTTTAATGTACAATTTAGAAATTATTCGAAATAATCAAGTAAGGTTCATCTCACACGTTGTAGATAAATTGTATATTATTTTATTATGCACTTTATTATTTTATATAATATAAATATAAATAGAAGTATGTATTTATATCTATATTTATATTATGTATTAATATTCATGTTTTGAATATTCTATTAATTCTTTTGAATTTATTATTATTATTAT